CCCCCCCCCGCGGGGGGCCCCCTGCCCACGCCCCCGGCCGCCCCCCCCCCCCACGCGGGGCACGGAACCCAGGCGTCCGGCTGCCCCTCTCCCCACGCGGGGCACGGAACCCAGGCGTCCGGCGGCCCTGAGCCTCTTCCCCAGCGACCCCCACCACACACGGGGCCGCGTCGCTAGCGGAGTGAGGTCTGGTTAAGCCGGCTCCCCCCGTACCTGGCCTGCCGCAGGAAGTTTTCCGCCCCCGGCGTGAACATCCCGCCGCTGTTAGTCTAGGGGCATAATAGGGCTTTAGGGCAGCGGAGGAAGGAGCCACATTGTTTCCGCTCCCGCCCCGGCCACTTCCGGCAGGCGGGAACGTGCCAGATGGGGGCTCGTGGGGAACGCGGCTGCCCCCGCACGAACAGTTCCGGGAGCAGTAGCCGCTCTGCCATCCTCCCCTCCCCCGGGCTCGGATGGATCGCTGCGCAACATAACAGTATCCTTCCGCCGCGCCGGGGGCAGGAGAGGTAAGAGAAATAGTCCCCCCATTCTTAGGGGAGGAGGGGACGGATTGACGTGGTTTAAGGCTCAGTTCAAGGGTCATTCATGTACAGTCCCCCCCACCCCTTTTCCCCTCCCCGCCGGAGTGGCAGGGGCTTGCCTAGGCCGTGCAATAGTAGCCTCGGGACTCCCTCACAGTGCTAGATGCCCCAGGATGAACAGAGGCCCTCCCTTGGGGCCCAGCCCCCACTTATCCCCTGCCAGGGCCTGGGGTGCACATGCTACAGGGAAGGGGCAGTGCTCGGCCCCCCAGGGTTGCCCAGCTTTTCCTGGAGATTTCCTCCCAGGGCGATCTTTAATTCCTGGAGGTTTGGCAACTGTAGAGCCCCCTCCCAGGATGAACCAGCCTGACAGTGGGCCGGCCACCCCCTCCCCCCGAGCTGTGATGACTGAAGGTGGAGCTTGTGGGCAGAGGCGTAACTTACGCACGCACAGGCCACGCGCGAGGTCTGGCACAGCAGCTACCTGCGACACAGAAATTTAGGCAGCAGCATCATAACACTTACTGAGACCTTCCTCCTCAAGCAAAGCGTGGAAGAACCATTAGCTGCAGGAACTTAAAATGGCAGCTGCCCATAAAGGTGGCAGAGGTATAGCATGGGAGCTGCCATGCTGGAGGAGGTACAGTTGGAGAATTGACCTCCCTGCAAATATCACCTAGCAGCAGTTCAGGCCCCCCCTTTGTTCACAGTCAAAGCCAAAGCATGGCTGTGAGGTACTCGCCCCTGCGGATAGGACAAAGGCAGGTTCTCACAGAGACAGTCATAGCACTGTGTGTAGAAGTGTCCGTAGAGCAGAGATTTTACATTTTCATTTTTGGAAAATGTGACAGGGGCAGAAGCTCTTAGCCTTCCCTAGGACCCATTTGAAAATAATGTATTTTGAAAAGGCCAAGATAAAAACAGCTACGCAGCAGGCTATCTTTATAGGTTCCAAAAGGTTAAAAGACATTAACATTTCCTTCCTAGAAATATCCCTTCCGACTGCTAATAAGCCTGTAGCTTTTAGAGCTGCACTTACCAACAGTCTTTCAGCAGGAAGGGATATTACCGTGCAAAGTTTGCTGGTTCTTTTACCTTTGGGAGTTGAATGCCTTGAGCCACTCATTGGTATAAAGTTCCTTAAAGAGCTTAATCAATAACAGTTTCCATTAGCCATCTGTGTGCCAGCTCATGCTGCCCTTGGAACCAGAAACTTCCATTGCTGTAGCTATCGACAAAGTCATCATAGAGCATAAATCAGACATACAGAAAACAGAGGGCCTAGAGACCAAAGGTTCAGCTTTTCCCAAATATAATACAGTGGGGAGCTTGTCCATTATATTTTAAAAACGGGTCCAACACTGATGCTATATTTAAAAAGGAAGATGCTAAAGGAGGTGCCCAGATCTAGCTCTCTACAGACTTTGTCTGCTAAGTATTTTTGCTGATCTGGGCAAGATTTTTAACACATGAAGGAGCCAGCCAGACTATGGCTACTTGGCAGGGAGAACCCATCTTTAGGTCCAGAGGTCTTCATGGCATTCACATTAAATTCTGAAACTGACAACCAGTGACCTGGTTAACTAAAATGAGCAATTGGAATAGGGATGGTGCAGATGACATAAGGTGTCAAAGGGAAGAATAGGGCATAAGCATTATCTAGCCTTAAAAACGGGAGGACTTGGAAATGTTTTCAGCCCATGTACAACTTCTAAGCTTCGCAATATGCTGTCTATCATTTACAGCAGCAGTTAAAATGGTTTAGCACAGAACTGGTGAAACTCCTAATGGGTAAGTGAAAACTTGATCCTGAGTCTACAGCCAGTTTGAGGGATGATGGGCTAATCCACAGGGAAAAGATTATAGATCTCGATGCAGAAAAGAGACAGGTTATTTATTGCCAACAATATGAGGAGCTAATGTTTCCCAAATGTACCTTCCAAATACCAGAGCTGAATTGATGGCTCACAGCTAGGATTTTTCTGAACCCTGAAGATGTACAAACATACACCTAATGTTCTGCACACAATTCAAGGGCAAGAATGGAGAGGAAGAAATATTTAAGTTCTGTCATCCCCCACTGTACACTGCCTGTTTATAGCCATGCACGAGACAGAGCGTCCAGAAGACAGGCACACACAATAGCACCAGCAGCACAGAGCAACAAAGCCCTTTGGGATATTCTACAATAGGGAGAGCTGGAAGGAAGGCAGGCCCAGGCAACCTCTCTGGTTCCATAGACATGGGTAAGTGATTCTGATCACACTGAAAAATAACTGTTACAAAGAAGACAAACATGCCAGCCTAGGCCTCTGCTAGCAGTGAAACACTTATCTGTCACAGTTACTAACTGTACATTAATCATGTGGAGACAGACCCTGTTTAGAGCCAGCCATACCACAATTGATTACAAACTGGGCCTAAACACAAGCAGTTTATACCAAGAAAATGGTGAAATCCACACCACAGGCTGCTGAGGAAATCTTCCAACTCATCACAATGCTATGCAGGCAGTAAGAGCATATCCTTTAGCCACTCAAAAGGAGTAAGCAATTTCAGGGCACCTTCTCTTTAATATATAATTTTATTTCTGGTTATAGAAACAAAATGCTAAGAGGAGAAGCAATACTCCTCAACCACATACATCAATTTAAGATAATAGATAACAGAACAGGTAAAATAAATGAAAAAAATAGTAGAAATTTAAAACTTTGTTATAGCTTTAAAATATTAATGTTTTGATACATTAGAAATCACATTCAGATCTCAAATTACCTTTAAAAAAAGTATGGCTCCTTATAAAAAAAATACTGGATCCCATTTGACACAAAAACGCAGGTCCCACCCTTGGATGTTGCATTCCCACACCTTCCCCTCCCTTAGTGAACACAGACCTCTCCCCACCATCCCAATTTGTACCCACCACTTTTGTACCCACATACTCGGTAGTTGCAGACTAAGTGTTTCACAGATTGCAGCACTTGCAACATAACCAGGAGAGAAGCTGAAATTCACATCCAATGCCATAGACCTAGCTTTTCCACTTTAGAGATACAACCCGCTTTTTAAAAGCACTGATTAATAAACAGGTCATGAAAAATCCTTTCTACATCAGAAAGGACTCTATAAAGAGTTATGGCAGGAGATGTCTTCTCTGGCCAAGAACAGAAGCCAAAATGCAAACATAGCTACATCCCACCCATACCATTCTCTCAACTAAGTGCCAAACTGCAATGCAGAGGGGACAAGGTTCTCCTCTACATACCTGTGTATAAAGGAACAGGATCAAGGTTCTGATATTCTGGGGCCTACTCTCTGTTATACATATCACCCCCCTAAAAAACACACAGGAATAAACTCTCACAGTCTTAGTTAGAGATTTAACAGTTTTCTAATAGATCTTCAAAATTTGAACAGGATTTTATTGCCTTCTTACTGGTTATTTGGTGTTTCTTATAGTTAATGTTGAGATTAATTAAGATCCGGTTTTCTGCACGTGTAATGCAATTTCCGGATCCTTCTGAAACAGCTCTTAACACCACTCTCTGGAAACTACATCCTCTCTTAAGCTTGGATTTCCTGGCAGTCTGGAGAATTCTAGTCTCATCGGGATAAAGAGCGCTACATTAGGAATCAAAAAAGTAGTACAGCTTTGCCATTTTGTAGTCTTTTCAAGTACACTTTTACATTTTTTCCTGCTCTTATTTTTCATAAGATAAAGTCTCTTCAAAACTAATACTACCCTGGTTCCCTGTGACTGCAGGAACATTTGGGGGGAAATCAACAGAAAAAGAGTGCTCAAGTTTACACTAATTCCTTCGCCGTTGGACCCAGTTGTGTATGTCAGCAACCTGTCCACTTCAAAAGTGTAGCACTTAAGTCAGTGTAACACAGGATCTTTTACACCAGATTTTTAGCAGTGAGGCAGAGATGGGGAAGGGGATTTGCATTTTTCTACTTCAGTGTGGTTTTTAACCTGGGTTCCACAAACTATGTCTAAGATTTCCAAAGGGGTCCACACCTCCATTCAAAATTGTTTAGGGGTCCGCAAATGAAAAAAAGGTTGTCAACCACTGTTCTACTGGATCTAAATCCTTTTCTTCCAGCCAATCCTAGAAAATATCCTGACACTGCACCTGTTTTTTAATGATGGTTCTGCTTTTGAGTTTTCAGTGAAGCCAAATGAAGTGCAAGAAGTCACATGACTTATTCTTGGTCATATGAGTAAGCAGCTGAAGCCCACACTAACCCCAGAATGATGCTGACTCCCAGGGGCCTTTGCTGTAACCTTTAGGTCATGTCTGGAGAGGATATGGAGTAAGAGCCATAATATACAGAGGGTCAAATCTGGATTTCACAGTGGCTTTTCTCCCTTGGGGAAGAAGAAAAGCTGTGGTTTCTTTCACTGCCCACAGCACCATGGCTACTCCCTTTTGAACAACCTTCAGCCCAAATCACCCTCCCAAGAAAATCAACCACCAGATCCTGATACCAGCAGAAACCTAGGAGAAGCTTGTATTCTAGGTCCTCACAGAAATGCAATGAAATATTACTTGAGAGACCTCACAGAAGCAGCTTCTTTCTGGCTCCCTAATGCTATGAGTAACTTTGGTAAGGTCAAAATAAGTCAAAATTCATCCCAAGGCAAGTCCAATAACCTCAGCGGAGTTATGCTAGGAATGAATTTGGCACACTCAGGAGCGGGAAAGGAGGAATTCTAATTGCAGGCATATTTTTAATGAGATATATGTTATCTAGGAGACTCTACGCCTCAGGCCAGTGGGAGGTATTCTCATACAGAATGAGACAGGCTGCACCACCTCCGAATACCAGCCAGAAAGCAGCACTCAAGCTTGTCAAGAGCATGTTTCCTTCTTGACTGCAGGTTTTGTGCA